ACGAAGTGCCTTCCCCCAGGCAGTAGCAGTAATCGTGAACATCACACTTTGCAGGTTTGTCAATCGTGAGTGGAAGCTGTCCGAAAAAGTCTGTGTGAGCGTGTATGTGTGTGTGTATTTGGGGGGGGGGGGGAGGTCGCCTCCTCGCTCTGCCACGACTCGCTCCTGCCAAACGAGGTCCGCCGCTGGGAGGCAAAGTCACCCGCAAAATCGCTTCCAAAGTCGGAGCTGCGCGCGTGTTGCAGCGGCGGCGGCAGCGGCGGCGGCGGCGGCGGCGGCGGCGGCGGCGGCTTCGAGACGAGCTGCTCCTGCGGCGCGACGCGCGGGTCGTCTCGGGCAATCTCGGGGCAATCTCGGGGCAATCTCGGGGCATCTCGGGGCATCTCGGCCATCATTGGGCCATCTGGGCTCATCTCTCGGGGCAGCCTCGGGGCACCTCGGGTCATCTCGGGCCATCCCGGGCATCACAATCTCGGGTAATCTCGGCTCATCCCGGGCATCAATCTCGGTCATCTCGTGGCCCCCTCTCGCTCCTGCAGCGAGACGCGCACGCCGTCGAACGAGGAGGCGCGCCGCCGCTGCTGCCGCGCCTGGGAGCCGGGGGGGGGGGCGGGAGGGGGGGGCGGGGAGGGAGGTGTGAGGAGATGTGGGGAGGTGTGTGTGCGGGGGCGCGCCGCCGCCGCTGCCGCGCCGAGACGAGAGGAGTGGAGGCGGTGCGTACCTCCCCACATCTCCCCACATCTCCCCATACCTCCCCATACCTCCCCATACCTCCCCACACCTCCCGGGATCTCCCCGGACCTCCCAGACCTCCCCAGATCTCCCCAGATCTCCCCAGATCTCCCCAGATCTCGCGCCGAGACGAGCAGCGAGTCGGTGGCCGCGGCGTGCTGCTGCAGCGAGTGGGGCGAGCCCTAAGGGGGTAGCGGGGGCGGGGTAGCGGCGGGGGGTAGAGGGGTGAGGTAGCTTGGGGGAGAGGGGTGGGGTAGCGGCGGGGGAGAGGGGTGAGGGGTAGCGGCGGGGGAGAGGGGTGGGGCATAGCGGCGGGGGAGAGAGGGGTGAGGCGTAGAGGGCGGGGTAGAGACCAGCAGAGGTGAGGCGTTGTGCAGACGTCCCCGTGCGGCGGAGCGTCGAGGTGGTGGGGCAGAGGTGGCGTGGGGCAAGCCCCCCACCCCCTCCCCCCTCCCTCCACACCCCTCCGATCCATCACGCCAGAAGTGGCCTGCTACCACCAGGAGAGACACCAGCGCCAGGACCAGTGGCAAGGCGCCGGTGCGCGCGCGGCGTGGGCGAGGCGCGCACACACCTGCACGCCGCTCCCCCGGGGCGCCTCCCCCAAAGAGGAGTTGTGCTCGCTGCAGCGGTCTCGAATCGGCGGCAGCGCGCCGCCGCTCGCAGCCCGCCGCGAGAGGGGCGGCGGCGCGGCGTGGACCTGTTCACGGGAGGAGAGGTGTGAAGAGACGCCGTTCACAGCTCGGCGAGGGAGGCGGCGCGGCGTGGACCGACGAGCGACCGCCGCCGCCTTGAACGCGACGACAGCGTCCGTCGGCTTCGAGTCGCGGCCTCCACCTCGCCGGCAGCTCCGACAGGGACCGCTGAGCGGCGCCGGGAGGACTGTCCCGCTGACACGACGGCGCAACCGCGGAGGTGGCGCGGCTGAGGCGGCGGCGCGGCGACGGAGGCGCCAGCCGCTGCAGCAGGGACGTGCTCAGGGGAGCCGGGGAGCCGCCGGAGCGCCCAGCGAGGCCGGCGCTGCCGGGGCGAGGCCGCTCGAGGTCTGCAACGAGCGCTTGCGACGCCTTTGCGGAAGCGGCCGCCGCCGCCGAGGCGCGGCGAGCCGCCGCCCACGCGACCGCCGAGCAGTACGACGGCCCGCCGGCATCTTGGTCCGCCGATGCCCACGATGCTTCGGCGTCGGACGCGGACGACCGGACAGAAGCGGTGGCCGAGGCGATGCCATCGCCGTCGCCGGCGTGCGCCCTCTCCCACGCGGCTGCCTGCGCCGCCGCCTCTGCTGCGGCAGCAGCCTCGGCAGCAGCCTCGGCAGCAGCCTCGGCCGCCGCCGCCGCCGCCGCCGCCGCCGACCCGGGGCGGAGCTGGGCAAAGAGGGAGCCCGTACCGCGAGACGAGCGGGTCGTGGACGACGAGGACGACCAGACGCCAAATCGACGCCTCGTCGGCGACAAGACGTGCTCTTGCGACTCCGCACCACGAGCTGGAGGCTCCATCGACAGGGCGGGGAGGGCGAGGGGTGAGGCAGGCAACGACTCACTTCGAGGCTTGCACTTCGGCGGTGTTCATCCGCCTCATTTGACGGCGTCAACATTGCAAAAAATTAAAAAAATCACCGCGGCATGACAATCTAAAACTGTGGCCACACAGGACACCCACGCTTTCAAAATCACGGGTGTCGGCTCAGTATTTCAGAATTTTCACGGTCGCACCGCCCCGAGACTCCGACCCTGGGACCTGAGACGTCGAGAGACGGGCGAGAAAGTAATCTCAGACAGAGACACATCCCGGATAAGCCTGCACGCTCGCCATCGGCGCCACCGCCTCCCACGCATTCGCAGCCGGGACATACCGCTCCACCGAGTTTAGGCGGGCGTTGTTGTGGCCGCTGTGGGCGCCGCCCACAGCATACAGCGTGCCGTCGAGCACCGCCACGCCATGAATGTGTCGCGCTCTCGTCATCGGCACCACTTCTTCCCAGACGTTCGTCATGGGATCGTACCGCTCCACCGAGCCAAGGGCGCCATTGTTGATGCCACCCATGGCATAAAGCTTGCCGTCGAGCACCGCGACGTCCTCATGCCGCGTCTCTGCCATCGGCGCCACCTCCTCCCACGCGTTCGTTGCGGGATCGTACCGCTCGACTGAGCTGAGGGCGCCGTCGTCTTCGTCCGACGCCACCCGCAGCGTGCAGCCTGCCGTCGAGCACCGCCATCCCAAACTGTGCCCGCGCCGTCAGCATCGACGACACCGCCTCCCACGCGTTCGTAGCCAAGTCGTACCGCTCCACCAGGTTGGCAGTTACGAGGACAGCCTGATTCTCTAGTTGGCGCTCTCTGCCGCCGAGCGCCGCCGGTACAACGTGCAGCTCGTGAGCGTGCCCTTCTCGGCGGCGGAAGCACGGCATGAAAACCCGTGGACGCGGGAGATCGCACAGCGGAAGTTTGTCAACACGCACCTCGCGGGCGAATATCCCCACGCGCTGGTGCACGTGTCCGACGTTGACGAGCTGCTCGACCCCGCCGCGATGCGCAGCTTCGACGACAGCCAGATCGGCTGCATGGCGGCGCGCCTGCGCTTCTTCTACACGGCGAGAAGTGCGCCGTTAACCAGAGCTGGCACGCCTCCATACTCTTCCGCACGGACTCGGACTGGTTCCGCAACGCCCTGCGCTCTCACGGCGAGCTGCGCAAGCGCGGCGGCGCGCGGGGATGGCGAGCCGCTGCCCGCCGACGGAGGCCTTTCTCGGCTGGCACTTCTCGTACGCGCTGCCGACGCCGCTGCTGCTGCACAAGCTGCGCACCTTTTCGCACACGGGCATGGGCGGCGTGCGCTGGCTGCTCGCGCAGAGCGATCCCGCAGCGGAGGTTGAGCGGCGCGTGGCCGCGTGCAGCGACCTGCTCGGACGCAGCGGCGTGGTCTATGGGCCGGTGGCTCAAGCGTACGACGGCCGCCTCAAGGGATGGCCGAGGCACAGGCTGGCGCCCTAGAATAGGGTTCCTAAGAGCCTGCCGCGTTTCGAGTCAAGAACCGTTACCTCGAGGTGGACGGCGACTTCAGTCTGCTGACAGGAAGCGCCGCGTAAGAGAAAACGCACGGCCGTGGATACTGGCGAGAAAGGCCTTCAAATTGTTTTGTTGAACACTGATACCACTTTCCCCACGGTTTTCACATGCGCAGTTTTCTTTTTATCAATCCCCGAAGCTCCAGACGCCGCAGCCGCTCCACGCGCTCTCTTCTCGTGTTCTCACGTGCGCGCCCGCCCCCTTTCCGCCCTCCATGGCGCGTATGCGGCGCCGCCCACCAGTCGGACGCACCGCGTCGCTCTCCCCTCCGCACCCTGGCCGGTTGCGCCAGAAGCGCCGGCGCGCAGTTTGTGCCGCCCCCCTCGACCCGATCCGGTCCCGGAGGGTACACTCCCACCTTCCCGTACCCCCTCCGCCGCTACGGCAGCCCACCGTTTGTCCCGGAGACGGCCCCGCCCCCGCCCCCGCCACCCCTCTACCCCCCCGCGCGCAGATATGTCACGCATTAGCAAGTCGCGCAATGGTCCTCGGACCGACCAGCTCAAGGCCGAGAACTCGCGGCTCAAGACCGAGAACGCCCAGCTCAAGACCGAGAACTCGCGGCTCTCGGCGGAAAAAGATGGCATGGGAGTGGCATGTGAAAAAATTGGAGAAGAAGTAGGAAAAGCATTGTGCGGCGAGGCCGACCTGTTCGGCCTCGCCGCGGTTCGCCGCCGAGCAGGTCGCCGCCGCGCGGGCCGCCGAGCGGGCCGCCGCTGAGTCGAGGGCGGAGGAGAAGAGGAAGACATCTCTCGCGCACGCGAGAACGCTGCTCGAAGAGATGGAAAGGGATGTGGCCGCCGGAAATCTGCGGGAAGGTGAGTACAACCGTTACACTCGCCTCATCGCTTCCATCTACGGGGGACGCGAAGACGACGAGGAGGAGGACGACGAAGACGACGACTAGGATGAAGCAGACGTCGGGGGGCAGTGACGTCTCATGCGCCTTGCAGCGTGTGGTGGCGGAGCGCTTATTTGCGAGCCTTTGGGACGCGGGGCGGCGACTTCTTTCAAGAAGCGCCGCGAAAGAGAAAAACGCTGCGATGTTATCGTGATGTGTGTGTGTGTGTTATCGTGATAACTGGATACCCGGGTATCCTTTGGCCGCGTTGGGTCGGACATTTTTTTCTCGTTCTCTCACAGCTCACACAATACGATAAAGCAATTGCTTTACGCATTACGGCGCTCGCGGCTCGGGCTCGGCGGGCCACGGCCAGCGGCCACACCGCACACGGCCGACGGCCGCATAGCGTGTGCCGTGTGGCTAGTTCCATTTCACTCCTCACTGTGGCACAGCTTGCGCGTTACAAAATCTTGATTTTGCTCTTTGCGCCATCTTGTGTCCCTCTCGGCGCCTTCAGAGGCAGCTGCGACCCCGCCGAGTGGCACTCGCGGAGTGGACGGCTTACTACACAAGGACACCCTCGTAGGGGACACTCGGCGCATGTGCGTGGTAGTGCGACACCCGCCCGCGGCGTAGAGCTTGCCGTCGAGCACCGCCATGCCGGCATAGTTTCGTGGGAGTGACAGCTTGGGATGGCAACAGAACGAGTATCTTGCACTCCATGTGCAAGAACGCAGAGAGAAATGAAAGCCGTCCGGCTCACAAGTCCGGCTCACGCGCCCCGACTGACCGATCTACCGCACTGATCACTTCCGCCCCCTTGCTCCCAACCCATCTCACCTCGCCTCGGGCCGCGCCGCGCGATCTCGGTCGATCTCGCGCAATCTCGGGCGATCTCGGGGCCGCGCCGCGCTATCTCGGGCGATCTCGGAGCGTCGCTCGCGCGGCGGCACACCTTCCTGCTCAAAAAAGGAAGGGCCCGGTTGGAGCCACGGGGCTCACGCACTCGCTCGGTGCGCCGCCTCACTCTGCGCCACTTTTGAGGCGTTGGCGAAGGCCGGTGAGGCGGCGCCCGCGCGGCGCGTTCCTCGCCCTCCACGCCGACCCCTGCGCGCACCGCTCATCTTGGCCCTCCTGGGGTTACTCTCGCGCTCGTGCAGGGGAACCCGGCGGGACTCCCTTCCCCCCACCTCCGACGGGTTAGGTCGGTTCTGCGCCCCTTGGCGCCTGTGCATGTCCCGCGTGCCCGCCCGCCAAGGCTGGTGCCAAGGCCAAATCAACTGCCAAGGCTGGTGCCAGGGCCAAATCCACTGCCTGGCTGGTGCCAAGGCTCAAAGGCTCTCCTCTCTCTTTTCTTTTTGCCTTTTCTCTCGCGCTAGCTGCGAGTAAACGGAGAAATCCCCTGTGGAGAAATTCCATGCGTCACCCCCAAACCAGAGGTTGGATTTCGCTTTCAAGGGCGTGCGGTACTCTGAAGTCACCCTGCAAAAAGACTTTTCCTCGCCGCAAAAAGAACAAGCAGGATCTTTGGCCTTGCAAACGACACGGGACTGGCGCGCACTGGCATTAACACAGGTACACCGTAAAAAGAATTGATAGTGCCCAAGTCGAAGAGGACGGCCGCAAAACGGCCCGACGACCCTTTGCGACGCGCAGCACTTCATGAAATTCCATGGTCCGACTGGGGTTGCGGTGGTCTACCTCTCCGTCTTCATCGACATGTTCGGCGGACTGATGGCGGTCCCTGTCATGCCTTTCATCATCAAAGAGAACCTTGGCTGCCTCGGCGCCAAGGACACTTCCGATGCCTCTGCGCGGGATTTGTTTCCGCCGCCCTCGCCTGCCGCGTGCATCCCTTCCGCTGAGGAGGACGGCATCGAGACGCGCGACGTCGGGCCGGAGGAAGATAGCTGCGGGGACGATGCCCCCAGAGTATTGGCCGCCGCTTCTGCGCTGTACCAGTTTGCTTCCATCTTCTCGACACCGGCGATGACAAAGCTGAGCGACAAGTATGGACGGCGGCCCTTCTTTATGGTCGGCTTCCTAGGCTCCTGCCTCGGCTTTTTTGTCATCGGCTTCTCTGGCTCCAACACCGGCCTGCTCGCCGGCCGCTTCATCGGAGGGCTCTTCTCCGCCTCCCCGGTGCCTCGCGCCCCGACCATCGCTGAGCATCCCCGGACCTCCGGCCACCAGCTCACGTGAGCTATCGCCTCCCCCTCAGCCTCTCGCGCAAGCCTACATCTCCGACGCCTTCCCGCCTGACAAGTCGCCTCTCTACCGCGCGCGGCTCGGCTCCGTCTTCCAGGCGGCTCTTCCCACTAAGCCCTCTCTCCCGCGGCCTTCCTCAGCTGGCACCCCGTCCCTAGGCGGCTCTCATCTTTGGGCCCGGTTTTGGCGGCGGCCTCTCGCAGTTTGGCAACGCGTTCCCCTTCTACGTTGCGTCCGGCTTGGCCATGTGTGGCTTCCTGCTCGGTCTCTTCTACCTGGTCAGCCGCCGTCGCATTTGCACCCGTGCCCCTCCACGCCACCCGCCACCCTAGCGCCACCTGCACGCGCCTAGGACGAGCCTCCAAGAAGCGAAAAGAAGACCGACGACAAGGGCCCCGCCGACGGCGGGCGCGCCACCTCGGAGCTGGCGCAGGCCAAGGCGCCCATCATCCGCTGGCTCTTCGCGGCGGGCTTCCTCGTCAATTTCGGGTTCCGCGTCTTCATGATGATGTTTGGTCTGTGGCTCTTCGACAAGGCGCGCGCCCCAGACCCGACCATAGGAGCGGCTCAGCTCTGGAGGCAGGTCGATGCCACCCCCAGCGCATCCAACTCGCCCCGCGCTGCTCGCAGTTTGGATGGGGCGCGGGCGAGTTTGGATTTATCACCTCAGTCACCGGCTCAATTGGTACAGCCCGGAGCGTCACGCCGCTCGCGCCGCCCGCAAGATCACCCCCCCCCCTCCCCGTGCCTCCCCCGCTGCGCTCAGGCATCTTTGCCAACCTCGCGCTTTTCGCCAAGCTGGCACAAAAGTACGGCAAGCACCAGGTGGCAATCCTGGGCGCGACGATGGCGAGCGCGGGCTGGGCGATCTGCCTCCTCTCCCGCACATCGGGCCCATGCGATGGCAGGTTCCCCATTCCCATGCACACTCGTGGCAAGATCCTTTTTTCGGACCTATCAGCGGCACACCGCAGGTTCACGCTCGACGGCGGTATGGTCTTTATCATGGGCATGTCAATCGGACATGCGATCGGTGAGAGAGTTCTATCCGAGACGGAGCGGGAAGCGTCAGCTTGGACTAATGAGATTACGCCACCGCCCTCCCACGCCCTGCTACAGCGCTTCGCCCACTTGCGCCCAGGCTTCACCTTTTACAACACGGGCTTTACGACGCTGCTCTCACTTTACGCGGACAAGAACTCACAGGGAGCGGTGCAGGGAACGTCTTCCTCCATCCAGGCGATCGCCGGCTTCATGGGCCCAATCGTCGGAGCCTGGCTGTACACGCAGTGGAAGTGGGAGCTACTGCCCATCTTCCCCTCCTGCGGCGAGCTAGCTGTAGACGAGACGCGGGAGAGCCGAGACGAGATGAAAGATCGGATCTCTCCAAAGCCTTCTCCCCCTTCCCTCCCGAGACCCTCTACTCGTGCCGCTGACAGGCTTCCTGTGCGCCGCCCTCATCGTCTACCGCGTCCTCCTTCTCGACCGGCAGTTGCCGGGCGCCGCAGTCGACGAGCCGGCCGGGGCAGCCCTCGCTGAGCCCGAGGAGGACGAGAAGACCGTCTCGCAGAAGGGTCTCGCGCCACTGCCACTGACGGCGAGCGAGCGCGAGGAGCTCGAGGCGCTCCGAAAGAGGGTCAAGGAGCTGGAGCGGGTGCTGGGCGGCGTGGCGGACGACCTGATGCTCTCGCCCGAGCAGATTCAGGCGCTCGACCTGAGTCAGTGCCGCCACAGCCGCCGCGTCGCGCAGGACCCGAGGCTGACGTTGCACTGAGAGCCGCCGGCCCAGGCCATTGGCATTGCTGCACTGTACATCTGGACCCTTCAGCTTCGAGCTTGTCTGCCGAGAAAGAGTGGGGCGGGGAGGAGGCATGGGGTCCGCAGGGGCCGGCCTCAATATCGAGCGGCCAAGGACTTTCTTTTTTCAGGTGCGTTGGCGGTTGTTGAAAGTAATATATCCGCTTTACTTCCAACACCCGGACGTTCCCAGGGTGATGGAAGGTTCGACGCACCCCCGGACTGGGCAGAGAGGTCCCAGGAAACAAAAAGGCCTGGGCTGTCCACCCCGCCCCCACTTGCCCTGACTGCACAGGATAGCGTGCCCCGACGAACGGCGACACATAGCGGGGGACACTGCGCCGGGGGGTATGCCTAACTTTGGTGCTTTGTGTGGGTCGCGTTCCAATGGTAGCTGTGTGGCTGAAACCCTCGGGGACGCCACCACCCTCGCCCAGGTATCTACAACGCTGTCTTAAGGTCCGACCTGCGGGCTCTGCCTGCGCTCGGCACCGGGCACCGCCTCGGTATACAAAATGCGCCTGCGGGCGGACCCTCACAGATCACAGATCACAGATCACAGTACCGGATCCGGGAGGCGGCGGGCGGACTGGACGAGTACGATTACAGTACGGTTCGGTGCATGAGGGCTTTTCTGTCCGGGGGGTGGGGGCGGGGGGCGGGCTTTTGTCGGTTGGAGTCTGGAGACTCAGTGGTGCGCCGTGCGCCGCAAAGCACCTCATAGCACGCGTGCGGCGGTATCTCAGTCTGTCGAGTGTCCACTGTAAGGTAAGGTGAGGTAAGGTAAACTTCTCCACACACACGAGGTGGTGGGGCAAGGGGGGGCAACCCTCGCGTCTCCACGTCTAACGACAGGAGCCCCAACGGCATTCAAAGTGCAAGGCCCGGTGCGCGTGGGTGAGCGGTGTGTGTGTGTGTGTGTGTGTGAGTGTGTGTGTGTGTGTGTGTGTGTGTGTGTGTGTGTGTGTGTGTGTGTGTGTGTGTGTGTGTGTGTGTGTGTGTGTGTGTGTGTGTGTGTGTGTGTGTGTGTGTGTGTGTGTGTGTGTGTGTGTGTGTGTGTGTGTGTGTGTGTGTGTGTGTGTGTGTGTGTGTGTGTGTGTGTCACGTCACTGCATCCTCTGCCGGTTCCTCCGTCGCTTTTTCTTTGTTCGAATGTTTTTCAATATCCATCCTTCACGAAGCCACTCTGTCCATCATAGACAATACACTGACGTGTACGGCCGCAGCTCTTATTTTGCGTCACGCACCTATGTTTTCGAAACTGTGTGGCGCTGGCCACGACACACGTCGAGCCCAGCGGTCCTCAACGCTCAAGGCCCAACCGCGGCAGTTCCGAGAGACCCTGCACCCACCCCGCTCGACCGATCGCGATCAAGCCCGCGCCTCTTCCCACTCCCGGATCTGCCGGCGCACCATGTGGTTGGGGGCGAGAAAGGTGTGCACGAGCGCCTCGCCCGTCATCGGGCTCGTCGACTTGGTCGCGAGCCAGCGCTCGATCGCCGACCGCTCGTAAGAATGCCCGTCCGCCGCCATCACCGGGTCACTCATGAGCTCGGTCGTGATCGGGCAGATGAAGTCGGCCGGCGGCTCCTCCTCCCTCGGAGCCGGCGCCTCTGCAGCCGAGGACGACCCTTGCGCCTCCGCCGCCCGCCTCCCCTCCTCCAGCCTCGCGCTCTCCTCGAGCGCCGCCGCAAGCTCCGCCTCCTCCGCCGCCGCCACCGCCTCCTCCGCCGCCTCCTCTGCCGGCGCCTCGGGCTCTTGCGACGGCCCAGCGCCGCCCCCGCCGCCCTGCTTCTTCTTCTTGCCCCTCTTCTTGCCCTTCTTCTTCTCCTCGGCGCACTTCTCCGACTCCTCCTCCGCCAGCAGCGCCGCCGCAGCCTCCTCGGCCGCCCTCTCGGCCTCCACCCTCTCTGCCGCCGCCCTCTCGGCCACTGCCCTCTCCACCTTCGCCTCAATCTCCGCTCTCTTCGCCTCCCTCGCCGCCGCCTCAAAGGCGCGCTCGCACTCGGTGTGGCCCTTCTCCTTGGCCAGCTGCAGCGCCGTACGCCCGGCCGAGGTGCGCGCCGCTGCGTCTGCGCCCGCCCGCAGCAGGCAGAGCACGACGGCGGAGTGGCCCTGGTAGCACGCCATGTGCAGCGGCGTGAAGCCCCCGTCCTTGGCTTGGTTGACCGCCGCGCCGGCCCCGAGGAGCAGCCGCACTCCTTGGCTTGGTTGATCGCCGCGCTTGCGCCGAGGAGCAGCCGGGCGCACTCGAGCTGGCCCTTCTCGCACGCAATGTACAGCGGCGTGGCGCCGTCATCCTTAGCTTGGTCGGCGTCAGCGTTGGCGCCGAGGAGCAGCTGGGCGCACTCGAGTTGGCCGTTCTCGCACGCGATGAACAGCGGCGTGAAGCCCCCGTCCTTGGCTTGGTTGACCGCCGCGCTAGCCTCGAGGAGCAGCCGGGCGGTGTCGAGGTGGCCCTGCTGGCACGCGATGAACAGCGGCGTGAAGCCCCCGTCCTTGGCTTGGTTGACCGCCGCGCCGGCCCCGAGGAGCAGCCGCACGCACTCGAGCTGGCCCTCCTGGCACGCCATGTGCAGCGGCGTGGCGCCATTCTGCTTGGCTTGGTTGACCGCCGCGCCGGCCCCGAGAAGCAGCCGCACGCACTCGAGCTGGCCGTGCTCGCACGCGATGTACAGCGGCGTGCCGCCGCTGTTCTTGGCTTGGTTGACCGCCGCGCTTGCGCCGAGGAGCAGCCGGGCGCACTCGAGGCGGCCATTCTGGCACGCGATGAACAGTGGCGTCGCGCCGGTGTCCTTGGCTTGGTTGATCGCCGCGCTTGCGCCGAGGAGCAGCCGGGCGCACTCGAGCTGGCCCTTCTCGCACGCAATGTACAGCTTGGTCGGCGTCAGCGTTGGCGCCGAGGAGCAGCCGCACGCACTCGAGCTGGCCCTCCAGGCACGCGATGGCCAGCGCGGTGGAGCCACGGCCCGTCGTCGCCCCCACGCTCGCGCCGCTCTCGAGCAGCAGCCGCACGGCGTCGGCCTGCCCGTGCAGAGCGGCGATAGTAAGCAGCGTGTGCTTTTTCGCGGCCTCGAGGCGCGCGTCGAGCATGGCCGTGAGTGCCGGGCCGCGCGTCCACCCGGCGAGGAGGGCGCGCAGCGAGCCCAGGTCGCCCTGGCGAAGGTCGGCGGGCACGAGGCTGATGGCGCCGCTCATGGCGGCAGCGAAGAAGAATTTAAACAACAGAAGTGTCTGCGCTTCTTAGCTCCCTGTGTGGTGGCGGCGTGCCGTCCTCCCATCCCTCCCTTGGGCTGTCTGTTTTCTTTCTTTCTTTTTCTTAGCTCCCCGGGCGACGGCTAGCGCATCACACCCCTCTCCTTAAAATCCCTGTGTGGTGGCGGCGTGCCGTCCTCCCATCCCTCCCTTGGGTTGTCTGTTTTCTTTCTTTCTTTCTTTCTTAGTTCCCCGGCCCTGGATGTGCGGTTAATGACTGCACTCCAAGTGCTCCAAGAACTCACTCTCACAGCAGACAGGCTCGACACAGGTGCGAACTGGCGCGTGCTAGTACTATCACCGGCACACCACCGGAGCCGCCTAAGCGACTCCGTTGAGAACGGCAATGCACTTAGCACCGTGCACAATGCCGCTGTCCCCGCACGCTAGCTCGTTCACCGTCTGCCACGCCACGGCGGTGTGGAGAACGACAGACAAGCGCTGCATCTGCAGCCCGTGCCAGTTCTTGGTGGTCCATGTGACCTCATCGAGGTGCTGAGCGTGCGAAAGTTTGTTACTCAGCTGGTCCGCCGCCTGCCGAAGAATTTCGCGGACGCCGTCCCCGAAGCCGCCGAACGTCTCGAAGTCGAGCAAACGCAGGTCGCAATTCTTCTCCCGCGCGAACCGGTAGTCGCCCTTCTCGTAGCGGGCCGTCACAGGTGCCCCCGCCTCCGCCTCCCCCTCACTCTCCCCCTCTTCTTTTTCGGCGGCCGCGGCTTCGGCTTTTGAATCTTCAGCTTCCCTCCCCCCTTCCCCCCCCCTTCGGGCCGGGGCCATGCAGCATGCCCCCTAACACTAAGTCGAGCAGCGCCCTCTCGGTGTTGCCGAAGGCGACAAAAGCCCCCTTCCAGCCGAGCCGATCGCCACCCTTGCGAAGAAGAATTTCCGGTGCGTGGAGTGCCTTCCCATTCTTCCTTTCTCTGTTTTCTTTCTTTTTCTTACGGCTCCCGTGGTGTACCTGTGTTAGTGCCAATGCGCGCCAGTCCCGTGCCGCCCAGTGTCGTGCAAAGAAGAATTTTACTTCTCTTCTTCCAAGACTGGGTGAGTGTTGTGCGGCGGCCCACAAAGGAGGCGAGGGAGAGGGGGGGGGGGGGGGGCAGAGCGGGCTCGCGGGCGTGTGGGTGTGTAGGGCGGGGCGTGTGGGCGCTGGAAGCAACACGGAGCTCCGTTGGAGACGTTTTCAAGATTAGCGTGTCAGAGTGAAATGGCACTAGCCCCTCCCCTTGTCAACCCTTGTTTCCTTTCTTCAGATCACAGATAGATCTGTGTTAGGCATAGGGTATAGGCTATAGCAATAGGGAGTGTGTGGATCTCGAAATGGTTGCAACTGAAAAAACTCCAAGCCCTGGGAGCCCTCCCCCTACTGTTTCTGCTATAGGAGCGAGACAAGAGCATGCCATCCATCGCCCGCGCGGGCTGAGCTCCGGCACATCATGACCGTGCCGCCCGTGGTCGAGTTGGCCTCAACGCGACAGGCACATGGACATGGCGTCCCCCATGCTGAAGCGGATCGGCTGTATATCCTCGGGCACGGGCCGCGTCCACATCGACTCCTCCTTGTGCTCACGCAGGACGTCCACCATGGCGGCGACGGCGGCCTTGGCGGTTCGATCGGGCGGCGACATGGCCGCCTGGATGCGCTTGAGATTGGGCTCCATCTGCGGCCGCTCGGCGGCCGCCTTGAGGATGAGATCTGCAAGCACGTCGGCCGAGTGGCGCGAAGCCAGGCGATACACCGGCGCCGACGCCCGCACGCGCGAAATCGAATTGATCGAACGCAAACGGGCACGCGATGATCGGGATGCCCGCGAGGAGGACCGCGGCAAACGTGCCCGCGCCCGCATGGCAGACGGCGCTCGCGCACCGCGGGAGCAGCATCCGGTGGTCGACGCTCGAAATCTCGAAGACGCTCGACTTGGCGAAGCTGAGCAGCTCTGCGGTGCCATCAGACGCCGGGTCGAGCTGATGCGTGCCAAGCTCCGCCCAGCCGGCCGCGAGCACGCAGCGCCCGCCCGCCTGCTTCACGGCCTGCGCGCACACGCGGGCAAAACGTGAGCCGGTGCGCAGCACACGTGAGAAAAAGGGAAAGATGTGGGGGGGGGGCTCGAGCCGACGACAAATGCCTGCAGCACGACCGTCGTCACGTGGCGCGCGGCGAGGCGCATCGAGCCAAAGCCAATGTAAACGGGAGGTGGCCCTGCTGCGAGGAAAGCCTCGAGGTCGGCGGGTAGCGCCTCGCGCTTCGATCGGGCGTGGTCGTCGAGCATCAAGACGCCCTGTGCGCGCACGTCGCGTAGCTCGTTCGTTTTTGGCGGGTATGGCGTCGGCGTGAGCTCCTCAAGATAGCCCAGAATCGTCGGCGCGCGGTGCATGCGCGCATAGTACTCGCTGACGTACGACAGCGTGTCAAGGCCCGCGAGCGTGCGACTCTCGTTGACATTCTTCTTGAGGAATGCGCCCCACACTAGTCGCTGGAATGCGCCCCATATGGCCTTGCGATACCACCACATCAGGTTCGAGCCGAGGAAGCCCTCCGCCCTTCCTTGCATCGGCAGGTTGCCGTAGTTCGTCCGGAAGATGGGCTGGAGATCGACGAGCATCAAGACGAGGTTACGAGCTTCAAGGTGCGGCTGAATACTCCGGTGGCCGAGTATGGTTGCGATCGCGAGGTCGAAGGGCTTTCCTTCCGAGGCCGCGGCGTCCAGAATCGCCATGAGGGCCCGTGAATGCGGAAGGCTGACGCGACCGAGGACGGTCGTCAGCATGGCCATTTGCTGCTTCTGCATCTCGGCGGCAGTGATCTTCCCCGCCTCGAATGCGGCCAGAGATGTCGAAGCGATCTTGAACATCTCTGGATCATCTGCGATGGACTCGCCGACGGACGCAAACGAGACCTTGGAACGTGCGCAGAGGTCCTCGTGCTCATGCGTCGAACAGACCAAAGCGTCGTGCCCGGCTGCCTCAGCCGCCCGCGCCAGCGCGATGAAGGGCTCGACGTCACCTCGGGTGCCGACGCAAAAGATGAGGACCCGCATGGTGCGTTGTGCCAGAGGACGCGGGAGGCACACGGATCGATCTCGCGCGCCTGCGAATGGACGCGGGGTGAGTCAGCGGACGCGGGGTGCGCCTGGGCCGAGGCCGAGTGGAAGCGAGCGCCTGGATGGCGTCTGACCGAGATAGCCAGCCGACTCGCGTACTCTGAGATAGCCACACTGTGAAAACGATTCGGCAACAGGACAGGCGCCGAGCTTCGCATGAAACAACAAGTGAAACAACCTTTCCCTTCACAGCAACGTAATGCAAATTCTTTTCGTGAGTGTGCCAGTCCGCGCCCTTGTCGTGCCAGGCCGGGTTTGGCGGCCCCCGCGGCGGAGATGGGACGCGCTCCGCTGGCGAGGAGCACGGCGGCGGGGCGGCGGAAATGATTTTTTATTCGCGCTCGCTCGGTGCGCCGCCTCACTCTGCGCCACTTTTGAGGCGTTGGCGAGGGCCGGTGAGAACCGCCGCCTTTTTTTTTTCGGCCGGCCCTCCTTGACGGCCTTCGACGGCCGCCTCGCCTCGGCCTTCTTCTTACAAGCTCGTGCGATGCCCCCTTCGCTCTTCCGGCGAAAAAAGAAGGCGGAGGCGGTCGAGGCTGGCCCGGCCGCCGACGCGCCGGCCGGGTCCAGCCTCGCGGCCTACGCCGATGTGTACAGCCTCGAGCGCGTGTCTGCGCGAGACGGGCCGCCGTCGGGCTCTGGCGGCCCGTCGCTGCGCGACCGCGCGAGGCAGCGCCTGGTGTCAGAGGTGTTCGGGACGCTGCGCGCGATGCCCTGCGGGGCGGTCCTGCTGGTCGACGGCGTCACCATGCCCGTCATCTCGTCGCTCTTCCGCGTGTCGGAGCTGATGGAGGCGGGCGTGCACCTGGTGGAGCACATCACGATGCGAGGGCCGGACGGAAACTACCTGCGCCGGCAGCAGCTGACCTCGCTGCCCGCGCTCTACTTCCTCACCCCGTCGGTCGAGTCGCTCGGCCGCCTCATCGACGACTTTCGCAACCCAAAGGCTCCCGCGTACGCCAGCGCGCACCTCTTCTTCTCGTCGCGCGTGTCGGACGCGCTGGTCGCCAAGCTCAAGGCCTCGCCAGCGATGCCACGGGTCCGTTCCTTCAAGGAGGTGCACCTCGAGTTCTCGCTCCGCGAGGCCGACCTCTTTGCTGTCTCCCCCTCGCCGGGCGCGCTTCTCGCCATATCTCCCCGCCGCATCTCCCCATATCTCCCCCTCGCCGGGCGCGCTTCTCGCCGCAGCTGCTCCTCCCTCCCTCTCGCCGCAGCTGCTCCTCCCCTCCTCCTCCTCCTCCTCCTCCTCCCTGCCGCCTCTATCTCCTCCTCCCAATCGCCGCCTCTCCCCCCCGAAGGCGCCCCGTCTGCCCTCGCGACACTCTTCCGCATCGACACAGACAAGCCGGCCAAGCGCGCGAGGCTGCACGAGGTGCTCTCCTCGACTCACTCTCTCCCCACACCGCAGCTCACTCTCCCCACCTCACACTCTCCTCACCTCACTCTCTCTCTCTCCACGGTGCCCGGATCGGGACCACACGTCGCCTCATCTGTCGACTCACACCGAAGCCACACATCATTCATTCATCCATTCATCCATCCACAAGTGCGCCGGCATCAGCGTCCGTTCCCCACCAGACACGCACACGACACGCGCACGACACGTCCACGACACGCACACGACACGTCCCACGACACGTCCACGACACACGCACACGACACGTCCCACGACATGCACACGACACGCCCACGACGCGCCCACGACACGCCCACGACACGCCCACGACACGCCCACGACACGTCCACGACACACGCACACGACACGCCCACGACGCGTCCCCGACACGCCCGCGCAGGTGCACAAGATCGGCACCTCGCTTGCCACCCTCTTCACCACCCTCGGCGCCGCACCGATCGTGCGCGCCGCTACCTCCGCCGTCGCCGCCGCCATCGCCTGCGCCACGCAGGAGCCGCCTCGAGATCGCGCGAGATCACGCGAGATCACGCGAGATCACGCGAGATCGCCCGAGATCACGCGAGATCGCCTCAGCGAGAGTTGCACCTGCAGGAGAAGCTCGACGCGCTCGATCGGGCGGGCGCCCTCCCGGCGGTTGAGGAGGCGGCGAGCGGCGCGCCGCCGCCCCTGCTGCTCGTGCTCGACCGCGCCTTCGACCCGCTCTCGCCGCTGCTGCACGAGTTCACCTACCAGGCGATGGTGCACGACTTGCTCCCCGTCGCTGAGGGCGACCGCTACCGCTACACGTACGTCGGCAACAGCGGGCAGAGCCTCTCGAAGGAGGTGGAGGCCCGAGATGGCCCGAGATCACCCGAGATCACCCGAGATGGCCCGAGATCACCCGAGATCGCCCGAGGTGGCCCGAGATCACCCGAGATCACCCGAGATGGCCCGAGGTGGCCCGAGATGGCCCGAGGTGGCCCGAGATCACCCGAGATCACCACGAGATCACCCGAGATGGCCCGAGATCACCCGAGATCACCCGAGGTCACCCGAGGTGGCCCGAGAGGAGCCGAGAGAGTACCAGGCGGCGAGAAGGGCCGCCGAGGTGGCGCGACCAACGCGTGGGTGTCGGAAGCTTCTCGGAAGCTTCTCGGAACTCTCCCTGCAGGTCCTTCTCAACGAGGCGGACCCGCTCTGGCTGCGCTACCGGCACATGCACATCGCAGACCTCACGGTCGAGCTCGACGCGGACTACAAGGCCTTTCTACGAGACAACGAGGCGTCGGCCGGCCTCGCGAGCGGCAACGCCGACCTGTCGGAGATGGCCGCCGGGCTGCGCGCGATGCCGAAGTTCCAAGAGGCGATGGGGCGCTGGTCGCTGCACATCTCCCTCGTCTCCGAGCTCGTCTCGCGCTACGAGGCCTTCGGGCTCGAGGCGGGAGCTTGATCTCTCCTCCCCGTCGTCTTCTGTGTCCTCTCCTCTCCTCTCTCCCTTTCCCCTCCTCCTCCCCCTCCCCTCTCCTCCTCTTCTTTCCCCCCCCTCTCCCTCCCTCCCGACTCCCCTCTCCCCTCCTCCGTTCCACAGGCGGCGGCGCTGCTCGAGCAGGCGATGGCGTGCGGCAGCAGCCCGGACGGCAAGCCGTGCACCTCCCCGCTCGCCGACCTGCGCTCCCTCCTCGCCGACGACGCGACGGCGCGCTCGCCGATCGACGCGCTGAGGCTGCTGATGGTGTACGTGGTGACGCAGGAGCGGGGACCACGCGGCCGTGGGGGGCGCGAGGCTGTGAACGGCGTCTCTTCACACCCCCTCGCTGTGAGCAGGAGGGGATCAAGCCCGAGGTGCGGCGCGAGCTCTTCGAGCTGGCGGGCATCCAGCCAGAGGACCAGGAGCACACCCCCGCCCCCCCACCACCCGCTCTGCACGTGCAGCCTGGCCAGAGCCCCCTCCCCCACCCCACCCCACCCCACCCCACCCACCCACACCACCTCCCCCCCCCCTCCCCCCGCCCCCGCCCCGCCCGCCAGGTTGCCATCCTCAACCTCTTCCACCTCAACGTCAACCTGACGCACGGACTCAAGCCGCCAAAGCCGCCGCAGAGAAAGCAGCCGGAGCCGGCTGTTGAGCCCGCCGCGTCCGCCGCACCCGTGCGCGAGTCGGGGTACGACGTCTCGCGCTTCACGCCGCCGCTACGCAGCCTGGCGCAGCGCGCTCTCTCCGGCGAGCTTTCGTCGGACGACTTCCCGTGCCACACCCCTAGAAGCGGAACCTCTCCCCCTCTCCCCCCCCTGTCTCGTGCCTAGACGGCGAGAGATGGCGAGGTACTGGCCCGTGCCTCCCCCGAGCAGCGCTCGAGAGGATGCGTCTCCCGTCGTCTCCGGCCGTACTCCGCTGCACTCCCTGTCCCCCTAGCCCTCGCCCTCACGCGGTGCTCTGAACACGCGGCTGGGCCAGCCGACTTCCCGCCCCCAGACGCTGGCCGCTTCACGCAAAGACACAGCCCCGGGGCCCAAGACCGCACACGCACACAGACAGTCGACAAGGGAGAGAGACAGCGACGGCAGTCAGAAGCCAGCGCTGGGCCCCAGAAAGGCGAATGCGAGGACAGCCTCTAGTGCGAGCTCTAGACTAGTGAGCTCGTACGCACGCCGGCAGAGCGCGACTATAGCCGGGCTATAGTCTTCACACCCACCACTCACACCGCCAGGTACATGAGGCCACATCTCGCCGCCAGCGCCGCGGCGACGCCGACCCACGAGGCGGCCGGGCTGCCCAGCTGGGCGACGGACGCGGCGGCCGAGCCCGCCGGCGCGGCGGGCGGAGCGGGGGGCGGCACCGCCCCTCTCGCTCGCGGAGCGGCCCGCGTGCCAAGTCCGCCCTCTCAGGCGACGTGGCGGTTGCGCGTAGGAGGGCGGCGTCTGGTCGTCTTTGTGGCGGGCGGCGTGACGTACGCGGAGGCACGGGAGCTGCACGAGCTTGGGCGCGAGATGGGGTGCGACGTGATGCTCGGCGCGACCGCGCTGCTCACGCCGCAGCGGTGCGACCGCGCCGCCTCGCGTCGGGCACACGCCACGTCAGGGCGGCGGACTTGACCGCGGCGCGACTGCACCTGTAGGTATGTCATGGAGCTCAAGGAGCTCAAGGCGCTCGAGTCGCGCGTCGAGCAGCGCGCCTGAGGGAGGGAGGCGCGGCTCCGGCTCCGGCGCACGCTGCGTGAGTCGGCACTACAGCGCGCCGGAGCGTTGTGGAATTAGCCCGGTCGAACACCCCCCGAACCAATAAACTCCCCCATTCAGCTGAGAGGTTTTGGAGTTCGCTCCCGCGCAATCGAGTCATCAAGCATGGTGGTTGGTGCCCAACGCGCAACGGCGGCCAAAAAACAAAAAATCGCCGGTAGCATCTCCCAATCCGGACTCAAGTGTGTCCCAAGTGCAAGTCGCTGGGCCCTCTGCGGCTCTGGCCTCGCCCTCCACTAGGGCGTAGGGGGTCCACAGCGCCCCAAAATCCACCCGTGTGGGCTGAGGGCCAAAAGCAAAACGCGCAACGCGGCCACTCTCGCATCTCAGAGCCGTGTTCTATCTCAGCAACCCCGCTCGATGGTGCTAGAGCAGCGTGTCTTCAAGCTTAAATCCCACTCTATGCAGGGAA